CGAGAAGCTTAAATGACTTTATTTGTCTCAAATGAAATTTTTATTTTAATACTTAGTTTAAAATCAAACCTTAAACATGGAATTTTAGAAAAGTCTTCCAGGAAACCAGAATATGGTAAGTCTCTCATTATAAAATGAAAATTAATTTATAAATAAATAATGTGAAAACATTTTGTCTCTCAAACAAGATTTTTTCATGCTTTGCAATACGGGAGGTGGGGGATTGGTTTTTGGTGTAAATATATAGCAGTTTAGTTGAAGATGAATTTCCCAGATTATTCAAATTAATCACAGGTAATTATGGATTTAAATTCATGTTCTCCATAGAATTTTTTTAATCCAGAAACGGCCCTAGAGAACGAGTTTACTAACAGAAGTGTGGTGGTAAGGCTGCTGATTTCTTTTTTAACGTGACATTTTCCAGCCGTTCTAACTTTTATTTTACTATATCAAGTACTATCACTTGTCTCGGATTTTCTAGTTAAGACTCAGCGATCTAGTGATAGACCTTATTGCCATTTGGGTGATAGCAGTTTGAAAATATAAATTGTTCTATATCTGGAATTTGTTAATGTGTATAAATCATTGTATCATTAAACAATTGTCTTTGGAATCCTTTAAATCATTAAACTCTCCCTCTGCATGATAGCAGGAACATGTTAACAAATAGAGCTCTCTATAAATAACACAACAGGGAAGAAAGCTCCTGCTGAGCGTCCATTTCCCCTCCTCAGATAGAGACTATTTGTTACCTTCTTGGCACCAATAGGTCTGGAACTCCTGCTGCTAAAGACTAATGTATTTTACATTAACACTCAAAGTGATCCCCAATTTCTTCTGCTAAAGGGTGGATTGTTTAAAAAATTCTTTTATCTTTGCACGTAAATTATTTATGGGCTCCCCCCTTTTATAGTTCAGTGTGGTTGGCAAATTCATCCCACTGAAAACAAACCAAAGAAAAAACAAAACTAATTAACATCTTATGAAGCTTTTGTTCTTAGTAATTTAAAAAGAAAAAAATTTTTTCATAAATGGAAGATGTTAAAGGGTTTTGATTTTGTTAAATTTTTGTGTTTTTCCTTTGTTTAACATGAAGGCTAAAAAAACGTATTTTCTTCCCCTTTTGTATGATCTATAAACTTAATTGTATTTGGGTTTTTAAAATTTCGCATGCTGTGTTTTATTTCTCAAAAAATGCCAGTGAGGAGTGAGGGAAACATTTTTATTTTTTGGCTTGATTTTTCAAATTAAAACTGTTCTCATTTTCTACCATCTACAGTTAAAAATATAAACACACTATACAAGCTGTGTTGGTTTCCAGATGTTTCAATATGAATATTTTGTTGATATTTGTAAATAACAAATAGGCATTTTTTTCCCTAAAAAAAAAAAGATCAAACCTGAGAAATCAAAGCAACTTCGGCA